ACAGGGAGACAGCTCAGGGGGCAGGAGTGCATGAAGGGATGGACACTGGGAAGAGGTAACTATGGGGAGGAAGTGGGAGGGGAGCTGTTGCATTGTGATAAACTGTGGTCAATGACATGAGATAAAGTATATGTGAACTGCTGTATATAAAATGAATTTGCTCTGTAAATCTTCACCCAAATCACAATAAAAAATAAATAAATAAAAAGATTTACAGCCTCAGAACCCAACAGGGGTTGGTATGAGTCTGAATCAACTCAATGGCAGTGAGTTTGGTTTGTTTTGTTTTGGTAGATAAGTAAGACAGAATTTGGTATTGGAAGAGCAGAGTGCTGCTCTAACAGATACCTAAAATGTGAAAGCAGTTTGGCAACTGGGTAATGGGTAGAGGCTCGGAGAGTTTTAAGGCATTTGACTGCCAACCAGAAGGCTGGCATTTCAAACCCACCAGCCACTCCTTGGAAGGAAGTTTGGGCAATCTACTTCTGTAGTGATACTGCCTCAGAAACCCAAGGAGGGGTCGCTATGAGTCAGGTCCAACTTGATGGCACACAACAACAACAACAAGTAAAAGCCTACATTACCTTGAAGAGACTGTTGTTCTAATTACGTATATCAAAGGCAATTATCATGAGAGCTCAAAAGGAAGTGAGGAGAACTGTAACACTGGAAATGGCACAGACGGCAAGAAGCAGAGAAAAGCAGCGGCAGAACCAGGAGAACAGCATGACACGGTGTGGAAGCTAGCCTATGGAGCAAGGGAGTTGAATGCATTTGGACAGAATGGTTCTAGGTGAAGTGGGGTGCCTCTGGACACTTTTTGACAGAGCTAGGCTTGCTGACCCAAGGAGCAAGAGAACTGAATGCCTTTGGGCCAAGGCCTACTGGTAGAGTGGTATGTCTCCGGTACTTACTGGTAGACCTAAAGATATTTGCAACATTTGCTCAATCAGGGCAAAGGCTAGTCCAGCCCAAGAGGTCCAAGGGACCAAGAGGCCAAGGAACCAGGAAGTAGAAGCTGAAGAGAAAAAGAGCATGGGAAATAGAGCTGTCTCTGTATCAAAGGATAGGGCTTTGATCTTTGCGGCCTCAAAGGAACCACTGCCTGCTGGGTCTCAAAGGCTGGGCAACAGTCTAGGTTTCAAAGATTCAGATATTCATCAACTTGATTCCAGAGTGTGAAGCTGCTGCTCATGAGTGCCAGAGGGAAGGTGCCAGATCTGCTGCCCAGATTGGGAGGGCAGGGGTAGGACTGCCATTGTCAAGGGGCAGAAAAACAAGGCCTGCTAGGGCCAAAGGGGTGGAATCTCCATTCAGTTAGACTAGGAGAATGAGGCTGCTCAAAGCCGAAAGAGCAGAGTTGCTGTCCCAGTAGGCTTGAAAGGTGGATCGGAAGCCCAGAGCCAAGGGTCCTCCACCCAGAATCCAGAGAATGTGGCCAACACCCAGTCTGTAGAGAGTCTGCATAGATGGTCTCAAAGAACAGAGGATTGTTTTCAAGCTTTGAGAGCTGATGTAAATGTTCTGCTGGATTTTTTACTTGCTAGATGGGGCAATCTACTTCCATAGTGATACTGCCTCAGAAATCCAAGGAGGGGTCGCTATGAATCGAGTGTGACTCGATGGCACATAACAACAACAACAACAATTAGTGTCCATTATTCTTTCTTTCCTTCTAATTTCTTCTATTTATAATGGAATTCTCTAAGTTTGTGCTTTGTTCCACCATTGTGCTTTATAAGCAGGTGATTTGTATTGTAGATTCAAAGATAAGGAAGAATTTTGCCTCCAGATGGAATTTGGACTTGGAGTTAAGATTTTTGAGATTATATGAAGGATGAAAGTATTTTATATATGGCAAGAACATGAATTTTTGGAGACCAAAGAGTGAAATATTGTGGATTTAATTGTGTCTCCCTAAAAATGTGTCAAATTGGCTGGGCAATAATTCAGTGGTTTGGCAGTTATGTAATGATGTAATTATCCCCCATGATGTGAACTGATGTTAGTAGCCAATCAATAGTAAGAGAATTAGGATGTGATGCAACACCCTTACTCAATCACAGCCCTTATTCTATGTAAAGGGAATTTCCCTGGAGTGTAGCCTGCATCATTGCTTATCTTGCAAGAGATAAAAGGAGAGAGAAACAAGCAGAGACGGAGGGACCTGACTACCATCAAGAAAGAAGAGCTGGAAACAGAGCATGTCTTTTGATTCAGGGTCCCTGTACCGAGAACTTTCTAGACCAAGGGGAAAATAGATGCCAAGAAACCTGTAGATCTCCAAGAAATGACAGGCCCACAGATGTTGAAAGGAGACAAGGACCTTCCTCTAGAGTTCACAGAGAGAAAATCTTTCCCCACAGCCAGCTCTCTGAATTCAGACTTCTAGCCTCTTAAACTGTGAGAAAATAACTTTGTTAATGCCATTGATTTGTTGTCAAATATTGCTGAAGATAATTCAAAAACAGTTGCAGCAGTACATCAACAGGGTATTGCTAGAAATGCAAACTAGATTCAGAAGAGGACGTTGAACAAGGGATATTGCTGATGTCAGATGGATCTTAGCTGAAAGCAAAGGGTACAAGAAAGATGTTTACCTGTGCTTTATTGACTATGCAAAGGCATTTCACTCTGTAGATCATAACAAATTATGGATAATGTTGAGAAGAATGGGAATTCCAGAACACATAATTTTGCTCATGTTATATGTGTATACTGTATGTAGCCCAAGAGGCAGTCATTCGAACAGAACGAGGGGATACTGCATGGTTTTAAATCAGGAAGGGTATGAGTCAGGGTTGTATCCTTTCACCATAATTATTCAATCTATATGCTTAGCAAATAATACAAGAAGCTGGACTATATGAAGAAGAATGTGGCATTAGGATTGGAGGAAGACTCATTGATCATCTGTGATAAGCAGATGATACAACTTCCTTGCTGAAAGTGAAGAGGACTTGAAGCACTTACTGATGTAGATCAAAGACTACAGTCTTCAGTATGGATTACACTCAACAAAAACAACAACAACAAAAAAATCCTCACAACTGGACCAATAAGTAACATCACAATAAATGGAGAAAAGATTGAACTTATCTTTGGATCTGCAATCAACGCCCATGGGTGCAACAGCCAAGGAATCAGATGTATTGGACTGGGCAAATTTGCTTCAGAAGATCTCTTTTAAGTGTTGAAGAGCAAAGATGTCACTTTGAAGACTGAGGTGTACCTAACCCAGGTCATTTACTTATTTATTTTTTTACTATAGCTTCATATGCAAATGAAAGCTAAACAGTGAATGAGGAAGACTGAAGAAAAACTGATGCCTTTGAACTGTGGTGTTGTTGAATGATGCTGAAAATACCATGGCCTGCCAGAAGAATGAACAAATCTGTCCTGGAGGAAGTGCAGCTAGAATGCTCCTTAGCAGTGAGAATGACCAGACTTTATTTTACCTCCTTGGTAAAGTGGAGAGTCAGAGAAAGAGTGGAAGACTCTCAATGAGATGGATTGACATGGTGGCTGCAATGATGGGCTTGAGTATAGCAAGGATAATAATGATGGCACATGACTGGGAAGTATTTAATTCTGTACATGAGGTGGTATGAATCAGAATGGCCTTAACAACAACAACATAATTTATACTAATTTTAGAGTTTATCATCAGAATTCAGGTGTTTACAGTAAAAATGACATTGATGTTCTATGAAAAAGAGAGTAGAAATATCAAAAATATTCCTACCATTTCTTACAGACTTTCTTCTAATTCCACTGAACAGGTTGCTCTATTCAGTCCTTCCTCCATCTGTTGCCAATGAGCTGAGACATAAGCGTCCAGTGCCTGCCAAAAGATATGACAATGTGACCATACTCTTCAGTGGCATTGTGGGCTTCAACACATTCTGTAGTAAGCATGCATCTGGAGAAGGAGCCATGAAAATCGTCAATCTACTTAATGACCTCTACACCAGATTTGACACATTGACAGATTCACGGAAAAATCCATTTGTCTATAAGGTAAGTCCTTAAGACAAACTAAACTAAGTCTGTTGTTGTTATGGTTAGCTGCTGTCTCATTGGCCCCAAACTCATAAAGACCTGATGCACAATGAAATGAAACACTGCCTGGTTCAATGCCATCGCCATGATTGGAGTGTTGTGATCCATGGAATTTCCATTGACTGATTTTTATAAGTAGATCACCAGGCCTTTCTTTATAGTTCATCTTAATCTGATACCTCTGCTGAAATTTGTTCAGAAACAGCAGTATGTAAGCTTCCACTGATAGACGGGTGGTGGCTGAACTTGAAGTTGGTCAGGAATCGAAGTCAGTTCTCCCACATAGAAGATGAGAATCCTCCCACTGAACCAGCGCATCAGAGACCCCCATCATAGCCAATGCAGTATTTTTCATTCAGAGTCTGGATTTTCAGACCCTATCCTCCAGAGTTATTTCTCTTAGTTTTCTGACTGTTGCATCTGCAGCCTTGGGGAAGCCTCCATTTATTCAGTATTTACCATTTTCTTAATTACCTCGTGTTATAAAACTTTCACTTCCTTGTAATCAAAATGATGTTTCATGGAGCAGATGATTCATGGAGAAAAATGAAATATTCAGCAGCTTATTTGCACTTAGGATAACAAATCTGTGCAGACTGTTTATCATATTTAGTATAAACATAGCATTTCCTTTAGTGCTCTGCAATTGACGTTGTTCACATTCATAAACGCCCAGTAAACAAGTCATGGAGCATGAGAAAGGGTCCTGGGGACTCAGATTTGCCTTCAGGTAATATCGACTTGAAGATAAATACTCATAAGGCATTTCTGCCCTTTGTTTCATTAGAAACAAATATATTATTGAAAAATGAAGTCAGTGGAATATTGCTTCATAAAGGCAAGAATGTTAACTAAACCATTCTTAGGCATCTGGAATAATATAAGCTCCACAAAGACTATTTATTTTATAGTCTTTTTTCTGAGGTACATTTAGCACTTGGTGAGTACATCATAAAAATAAATGATTAATTACTATGATAAATCACTGAATTTAAGATGATGGCTTTTGTACCATCAAAGCATAGCTTTTTTTGGGGAGGGGGTAGGGGAATAGGTAATAAAATAATCTACCGTATTATAAAAGGAGTTTAGGTGATTAAGCAAATAGTTGAGTTTCAGCTGCTAATTGAAATGTTGGCTGTTAGGACTCACCCAGCTCCCTTTGGGAGAAAAGACCTGCCAATCAGCTCCTGTAGATATAGATTACAACCTAGGAAACCCTATGGCCCAATTGTACTCTGTCATATAGGGTTGCTATGTATGAGTCAGAATTGACTCAATGGCACACAAGAACAACAACACCGGATTATAAGATCTGATGTGGGAAACTAGTGCTTACTAGAGGAAAAATAATGCTTCATCTTTATCTGCCTGTAATCAAAGACTCCAGGTGCTATATGTGTAAATTTCAAATAATTATAAGGCTTCATTATGTTGGAGTTGAATGTATTATTATTTTAAAAGAATTAAGAGTGAGGAGAGTTTTAAATTGCTGGTAGCCTGGGAAAAATATTTTTGTATAAGGATAGCAAATGAAACCATCAATTTTATGCTAACCAAAGACCATCTACATATGTGCTGTGTTAGGTGGAGACGGTTGGTGATAAATATATGACAGTGAGCGGTTTACCAGAGCCTTGTATCCACCATGCACGATCCATTTGCCACTTGGCCTTGGACATGATGGAAATTGCTGGCCAGGTTCAAGTAGATGGTGAATCTGTTCAGGTTAGTAAATAAAATGTTATTTTAATAGTGGCAACTGATTCACATCTTGACCAGACAGTCATTCATATGCACAAGGAAAGATGTCTTGACAATGTAGACTATCATCTTTTATTGAAACCCCTGTATTTTATTCTTCTGTAGAACTGGGAAACCTCTTTACCTATTTGAAAATATCTAGTCTACTCCCTGTGCCAAAAGTCATGATGATAAGATAGAACTTCCTGTTCTTCTGGTTTATTTTCTAAATGTTCTATTCTGTGTCTCAAGTAAATTGCCAGATTTACATCTTTAAAACCTTCACACCTTAGAAAAACAATATTTCTCTCAGAAGATAAAACTTTTGTGAGAGTTGTTTATTTTTCTCTAATATAATTGGAGTTCTAGAGAATTCTTATGATTTTTTTTATGACTGCATTATTCTGTAATAGAAAGTAAGCAAAAGTTATGTGACTGATAGAATTATTGAAACAAAGCCTTTATTTCTGCAGATAACGATAGGGATACACACTGGAGAGGTAGTTACAGGTGTCATAGGACAGAGGATGCCTCGATACTGTCTTTTTGGGAATACTGTTAACCTCACAAGCAGAACAGAAACCACTGGAGAGAAGGGGAAAATAAATGTGTCTGAATATACATACAGGTAAGAGAAAATGTCTTGGTATTTACTGATTACAAGGGAAAGATGTCTTTGCAGGAGGTGTAATCTCTGAGTGATCGTGTTCCCTTTAAATGTTTATCACTTCCTCTCTTAGAATTGTTGGTATCTGTTGGAGAAAACTGGGTCATTGTTTCCATTTTGAATGGTTCCACATCACCATAAAAATTGTTTCAAAAGCCATTGTTACTCAAGCTTTCAATTCCCCTTACATACAAAATTAGTAGGTGTTCCTGTTGTCTCAGTTTATAACTGTAGTATATTTAGTATGTACTAAATATAAATTCTTTATTTAGTATATAAATCAAATATTTAGTATATACATTCTCCACGCAGTCTTTGTATACTTTTCTCCCTACTATCTGTCCCTGTCTTTTAGATGTCTTATGACACCAGAAAATTCAGATCCACAATTCCATTTGGAGCACAGAGGGCCAGTGTCCATGAAGGGCAAAAAAGAACCAATGCAAGTTTGGTTTCTATCCAGAAAAAATACAGGAACAGAGGTATGACTAATCAGAGAGTAATTCTTTCTTTTTTTTTTTTTTTAAGAAAGTATAAATATGGGAGTTAAAATCAGCATCACCAAGAATACATTTCATTTGAAAAGAATTCTTGCTTACAGACATTAACTCTTAGGGAAAGCAGTGGAAATACTGAAACATTAATGAGCAGTTAGAACAATAAATACCACTTGGGGGATATTTTATGGTTACCGGCTTTTGTTCTCTAGTGAAATTAAAACAAAAAACTCTAGATCTACAAGACCTAGTTTTGTTCTTTTTCTGATATCTGGCTCAAATACAAGTAAAGTAAGTGGCCTTGGAGGGGACTATCCTGGCCTTTTCCCTCAGCTTCCTTTGGTGGGTCTGAGCTCACCATGAGGGCTAAGTCCAGGCTGAAGTTCATGGAAGGTTTCTTAACTGTGAAGCTTAGCATTCTTCTAAGGGCCAATTTGTCTCCTATGGAGTGTTTGGAGAGTTTGAGGAAACTCCTAGGCCCTTGTGTGTTTCTCCTAGAAAGAAGAGTAATATATAATTGGCCAGAATCTAAACAATTCCACTGGAAGCTTTAGGTTCTTGCTAGTACTATGGTTGTACTCAGCCAGAACTCATGTGCTAGAGTAGACCTTAGATGATGGCATGTCCAAACTGGCCTCATGTGACCCAAAGTGTGATTATACTCACTAAAGTCATGCCCAGTCTCCACTCCCTGACAATGTGTTACATCAGAAGCAAGTTGATACTTGGTGCTCTGTTGATATATTGGTTCCTCAGAAGAAATGAGTCTACTTGATTATATTACTTTTTTTGCATGTACACATTCCTTAAAAATACTTTCAGAATATAACTAGTCCTAGAGAGAAAGGAGTTCTAGTGGCATAGTGCCTAAGGCATTTGATTGCCAACCAGAAGGCTGGTGGCTCAAACCACTTTCTGTGGAAGAAAGACTGGGCAATCTACTTCCGTAAAGATTTACCACCTCAGAAACCCAAAGGGGCTCACTATGAGTTGGAATTGACTTGATGGCAGTGAGATTTTTTTGATTTAGAGAGAATAGAATGCTGAGTTTTAATATTTATCTCTATTTTCTCTCAGCTACTTTTATTTTAAATACTTTATCCATGGGTTGACATGCTTACTGATGTTCTTCTGATATATCAAACTACACTTCTGATGTTGATCATTCTAGTTGTTAGGCCCTGTTTCACTCAGAATTAAGGTGGGAATGACTTACAAAAACTGTTAATAATAATGCAGATCACACTATCATAGAAGAAATATGTTTAAGGGAACTACTCTAGGTTATTCAAACAATTTGTACTCTGACTACTAACAAAAAGTTTGGTGGTTTGAACCCACCCAGTGGCACAGAAGAAAAAAAGGGGGGGGGGCGGAATCTGCTTCTGTTAAGATTATAGCCAAGAAAACCCTATGGAGCAGTTCTACTCTGTAGACGATGGGGTCACTGTGAGTCAGAATTGAATCAATGGTAATGACTTCAGTATATTTGAGTCTAACTAGCTTTATTATTGATGAAAATCAATTCCCTATTTTTTCTATACTTTTAAGGACACAAAGGAGGAGGATAACTGAATCTTGGATTGTGGGATGAAGAGGACTGCAATTAGGTTCCATTTGTCCCCAAACATGTGCCAAACCTAGTAGCAGTTATTCCATGTGGATACATATTTTGCACTGTCCTTTTCAGTTATGCTGAGCCATTCTCCTGGGTATATCTCTCACATTCATTATTCAACTTTAGCTGAGCTTTTGACTATGTTATTTAAAGTTTTAGTATATTTTCTTAGTATATCTAAAGTTAACTTTACATGTGGATGATGTGAGCGTCAAGTGTCTTAAAATCTACTACAAGCATCAGTTAACGTGGTGATTTGCAAGTAGTAGGCCCCCAATCAATATTTCCTGAATTTAATTAAATGAAACTGAACAGTATTTGGCCATGTGTATGCATAGCATAGTTTACCAAATCTGTTTAGTGCTCCATGTATATGTATATATATATTTATATTTTAATGACTATAATATATAACAAAGTTTATATAGTGTTGGTGTATATCATTACAGATATTATTTTCTAAAGGAGTGAATTATAAGTTTTAGGGAAAATGCAATTTATATTCAGGCTGCATGCTAAGAAAATAGTAACCATTTTGAAGTTTGCTAATTTTCCTTCAGAAATATGGAAAACACATCTCTGTTATTAAAGTACTTGGTAGCTAATTCAAATCCTGTGGCAATTACAATTCCTCTGAAACACTGTCATTTGTATTGCATCCCTCTTGTTGATCTCGTTAACCATGTGCAGCTGTCATAGAAAGCAGCATTGTTCCCCCTGGATTGTTACACTGACTTGGGCTAAATGTTAGGGGCTCTAACCAAATCCAAGAATCATGCTGGAAAAACACTCTTGAGATGTTCCTGTTAGAACCTTTCCTGGCCTTTTATTCTCAGAAATGATCTTCTTTTTCTTAGCTTAAAAGAATGTGATTATATACAGGACACCATGTTTGGAAATGTTAGGTTAATTTCAACATAGAATGAAGTACTATTGGAATAATTGGCTTGTTTTTTCTTAAATATCTCTGTTAATTTATTAATATCTATCTTTATACAATATAATACAGCTACTTCTGTGTAAAACTGTTTGTCTTTAAATTTAACATTTCATATCTGCACATCAATATGTGTATAAATGTTCTGTTAATGTATAAATGAATCTGCAATAAATTATTTTTTTCACTTATCTCTAGATAGTTTCACTTCAAGAAAATGATACTTATATTATTATTTCTCATTTTAGAATGCCATTTGTAAATGCATTTTATCATTTTACCCGTTACAGACTTTAAACTTTTTTTCTGATTCACTACTGTTACAGTTTTTTGTTTGTTTGTTTGTTTTTTTATCTTAAGTAGGTATAGTCTTAAATGCTCTTCTTATTTAGTACAAAAAAAGTGACCTGTAACAACACTAGACATGAGGAGGATATACAGATGAATATGAAGAGGAACCAACTCTGAAAGTACTCACAATTTTTAGAGATTTTATATATATATATATATATATATATATATATACACACACACACACACACACACAAATAATTAGAGTGAGAATGGGGGAGATTGAAAGATCAGCTGAGTTTGATGATGGTCTTTTATAAAGATGAATGAATGCCATGGAAACAAATCTGCATTTTTTCTAGTAGCCTACAATCAGTGTCTCTAGTTTATCTCTTGCTGTTTAAACCCTCAATGCTTAGCATTGTATTCTGTGCAATGAGTTTGCGTTGCATAAGGTCGCTGATACCTTACTAATTACGCAGTGAACACTAATCAGTCTTCACAGTATCTCATCTCTCTGCTGTGTTGACATTGATAACTCTTTTTTTTTTTAATTTTATTTTTATTCTTTTTGTGAAATTAATTCCCCAAAGTCTTAATGAAAATTAAAACATAAAGAAAAGTTAAAAGAATTGTATAGTTATGTTAGTATGGGAGAAACAAATCAGAAAAGGAACATGACAGTGGGTGGACAATTTGAAGAATGTGACTAATGTTCTGAATTGTACGTGTAGAGATGTTTGAATTGGTGTACATTTTGTTATGTGTGCTTTCAACAACAATAAAAAAGAAAAAAAAAAGTTTGTACAGCTATAGTTATATACAGGCATATCTCAGATATTGCAGGTTTGGCTCCAGACCACTTCAGTTAAGCAAATATCATAATAAAAAGAATCACTTGAATTTTTTGGTTTCCAATGTGTGTAAAAGTTGTGTTTACACTATACTGTGTGCAATAGCAAGGAGCTCTTGTCGTGTAATGCCCAAGGCATTTGACTGCTAACCAGAAGGCCGGCAGTTTAAACCCAACAGCCACTCCACAGAAGAAAGCCTAGGGAATCTACTTCCATAAAGATTTACAGCCTAGGAAACCCAAAGGGGGTCACTATGAGTCGCAATCCACTGGATAGCAGTGAGCTTGGTTGTTTTTTTGGTGTGAATAGTATTATAGGAAAGTTTGAAGTATTGTGAGAATTATCAAAATGTGACACAGAGAGAGACAAGGAGTGAGCACATGATGTTGGAAAAATGGCACTAATAAATTTGCTTGATGCAGGGTTGCCACAAACCTTTAATTTGTAAAAAAAAAAAACAAAAAAACACAGGATCCACAAAGCACAAAAAAAGAAGGTATTCCTTACTCACCTCCTCGATTACACAAATGTTAACAATTTTCTACATTTCTGAGAATTTCCTTTTAATCCCTTTTCTAGCTTTCTGTAGTTTACTGGCTTAAAAAATGTTGAGATATATAATCCACATACTATAAAACTTCCCCTTTTTAAAGTGTAAAATTCAATAATGTTAACCAAAAAAGATAACTCACTGCCGTGGAGTTGGTCCCGACTCAGCGACCACTCCTTGGGTTTCCAAGGCGGTATCTGTATGGAAGCAGATTGTTCAATCTTCCTTCCCAGGAGTGGATGGTGGGTTTGAACCACCAGCCTCCTGGTTAGCAAACAAATACCTTAGGCACTATGCCACCAGAGTTCCCAGTGATTTTAGTTTATACAAAAGTTTGTGCAACCATCATTATCTAATTCCATTCTCATCACTCCTAATATAACTTTGTACCCATTAGTAGTTACTCCCCTTCTCCCTTCAGCTCAACCCCTGGAAACCACTAATCTACTTTCTATCTCTGTGGATTTGCTTATTCTGAACATTTCATGTAAATGGAACCATGCAATCTGTAACCTTTTGTGTTAGTACACTATTTTAAAGATTCATTCATATTGTAGCATGAATTAGTACTTAGAATTTCATTGCTCTGTCTGGTTGAATAATATTCTACTGTATGTATACCACATTTTTTAATGCACCCATAAGTTGGTGTACACTTGGGCTTTTCCCCTTTTTGGCTATTATGAATAATGCTGTTATGAACATTCATGTGCACATGTCGTGTGGTCATATGTTTTCATTTCTCTTGGGTGTATACCTAGGAGTGGAATTATTGGGTCTTATGGCAACTGTGTGTTTAACTTTTTGAGAGACTGTCAAAAACCAAAATGACTGCTCCTCTTTACCATCTGCTAGTAATTGATAAGGGTTCCATTTCTCCACATCCTTATCACCACTTGTTAATGTCTATCTTTTTTTATAATAGCATCCTAATGAGTGTGAATTGGTATCTCATTGTGGTTTTTATTTTACTTCCCCTAGTAACTAATGACGTTGAGTATCTTTATATACACTTATTGTCTATCTGTATATATTTTTGAGGAGATATCTATTCAAGTCCTTTGCCTATTTTAAAAATTGGATTACTTGTCTTTTTTACTGTTGTGTCGTAAGAGTCCTTTTTGTATTTTTGATTCAAGATCCGTAGCACAAATATAATTTGAAAATATGCTCCCCATTCTGAGTTTTCTTTTCACTTTCTTGATCTTTTGAAGCATAAAAGTTTTAAATTTCTATGTAGTCAAATTTTTCTATATTTTAATTGCTTTATGTATCATATTTAAAAAGATTATCTAATTCTAGATCATTTAATTTTACAATTACGTTTTCTTCTAAGAGTTTTATTATTTTAACTTTTACGTTTAGGTCATAGATACATTTTGAGTTATTTACTGTACATGGTGTGAGGTAGGGGTTACACTTATAGGGATGTGCAGCTCCAGTTGCCCCAGGAATCATTTGACACCTTGTCTAAAATCAATTGATCATAAATGTAAGATTTTTTTTTTCTCAATTGTATTCTATATGTCTAATTTTATGGCAGTACTACAGAGTTTTGATCCCTGTAACTTAGTAGTAAGTATTGAAAGAAATCGAGAAGTGTGAATCTGCCAGCTTTGTTCTCTCCTGGCTTCTTAAACATGATTACCCTTAACTTTCCTTCTTTATCTTCTATAATGTTCTTTTCCTTCAAATCTGTGACTACTAATGACCATAGCTAAAAATAATAGAGAATATCCTTTGTGGGAGGTTCTGTTCTATGCACTGTATATATTTTAATATCATCAACAACATCCCAGCAACCTAAGGGATAAGTATGTTTTACTATTCTTTTTAATTGTGGTGAAAAGCTGCACAGCAAAACCTTCACCAATTCAACTTTTTCCACATATACAAATCAGTGGCATTGATTATACTCTTCATGTTGTGCATCCATTTTTACTTTCCTTTCCCAAATCATTCTACCACCATTAAGATGAACTGAGTGCTTCCTCAGCAAAAACTTCACTTTCCTCCTCCTCCCACTCCAGGTAACCACTAGTAATCTTTGGTTTCTGTATATTCTCTTACTTCATATAAGTGAGATCATAAGTTGGTGTATGTTTGGGCTTTTCCCCTTTTTGACTATTATGAATAATGCTGTTATGAACATTCATGTATACATTTTGTGTAGTCATATGTTTTCATTTTTCTTGGGTGTATACCTAGAAGTGGAATTATTGGATCTTATGGCAACTGTATGTAACTTTTTAGAGACTGTCAAACTATGCTCCAAAGTGACTGTTTCAAAGAACACAATCATAGAGTTTATGTTCTTTTGTAGCTGACTTATTTTGCTCAGTACAATGTTTTCTAGGTTCATCCATGTTGTGGCATGCATCAGGATTTAATTTCTCTGTATGGCTGAGTAGTGTTCTGTACTCTATCTTTTTTTCCCCCTTTTTTAATTGTAAGAATATAGATAACATTTGCCAGTTGAACATTATTCATGTATACAATTCATTCATATCATTTACTGTTTAATTATGCTATTTTATTTACTAATACTTTATTTGTAATTTTTGTATTAAGAAAATAGTCTTAGGTTTTTTTTTTTTTTTTTAATGCTGTCTGTCAGATTTGAAGATCAGTGATATATTTATTCATAAAACAAATGTGTACCTTTGCCTGTTATCACTTTTAAGAAGCAACATTAGTATATTTTTGCTTGGAGGAAACCTTTTGTCATCCATGAAGAGGCTGAGCTAGAGGAGGAAGAATCTTCAGGTAGATTTAGGAAGCTATCATAGTAATTTGTGTATGGGCCTGTTTTAAGGGATGGCAGGGAAGAAAAATAATTGGAAAGAAATCAAGATTAAAAGTAAAAGTGCATAATATCTTATTAATTATAAGTCATGAGGGAAAAATAAGAGAATGAGCTCTACTGACCTGGTGGTAAGCAATCAGCTGCTAACCAAAATGTTTGGGGTTGGAACCAATTAGTCACTCCATGGGAGAAATATGTGTAAAGATTACAGCCTTAGAAACCCAATGGTAGTTATACTCTGTCTTGTGGAGTCACTATGAATCGGAATCGATTCAAAGGCAATGAATTTTTTTTTTTGGACTCTGGCTTGGAAAAGTGGGTAAGAGATGACACCATTAAATGGGACGGGAAATAAAGAAGTGTAACTGTGTTTATGCGAAAAGGCAGTAAGAATAATGTTAAACATGAGCTTAAAGTTCTTGTGAATATGTTTAAGAGATGAATATAACCTACAGGCAGTGAATACACTCTGTATTTAGCATTAAAATGGATAGAGAGAACAGAATTTTTTTTTTTTTTTTTAAGGTGGCCAATCTAGGTCTGAATTTACAAACTATCTGCAACTACCTCTATGACCTTGATAAAGCCACCTAACCTTTTTGTACTCTAGTTATCGTATATTTAAAATGAGGATTATAGTAATCATTGTCTAGGGTTGTTGGTAGATTTAATTGAAATACAGAGGCAAAGTC